ATTTCAAACAAAATCAGGCCAAAACGAAGTTCGTTTTGTGTTCCTTTCAGGAGTTCGAAGCGGCTTTCCAAAGCAAACTTTCCGGAACAGTTCGTAAACACCGTCAAAACTCCCATTGGTCCATGGCGATTATGTGAGGTGATATTGGTGTACGCTGATGTGGAACTCTTTTCCAGTTCATTTATTCTAATGAGTCAATTGAAGTCCACGATTGAAAACATGAACACACTGCTTTATAGCAGAAAAGTTGTACTTTAGATGAAGCGTGACACTGACAGAGTTTTTCATGTTTAATATGGTAAAGCTACTTGATTTGGTGCAGTGCCGAAGTGCCGAATTGTAGAGTGCCAAATTGGAGAGCTCATGCAAACATATCCACGTTGACATTGCTATGATGATCAGATATCATAAAATGTAACTTTATGGTACTAATATGCCCCCTTTAGGAGTTAAACGTTGTATCATACTCCCACAGTGACAGCTTTTGTGCCTTTTTTGTGATATTAAGACCTAATTTGTGAGTTTTCTTTCTTATTTGGATAGAGACAGTGTGTGAGAGAGTCTTGAAGCGTATGTTCCTGAATGGTGCAATGCCAAAAAACGGCTCCCTGACCACTAGGCCTGGCACGTCGCCCTGAGGTCTGGAATCTGATGACTGTGCTCAACTAGACCTCACTGGTTTCTTTACAGTTCTGCAGATCCCACTCATTCAGCATCGATATTAACGCTACTTTTTAGTTCTCGTTCAGAATCTACAGAATCATAATTTGATCTTTTTCGCTGAACATCTAGATCCAATAGATCCATAGCTACATGTATTAAAACAACGTTAACACATCTCACAGGGTTTACCGTATAAAGAGGCTAATAAATTAATTAATGCCAGAGCAGAGCAAGAAGAAGGGAACGGGTAAATGCAGAATGGATAGTTGTGAAAAAAAGTTGCAGCGTGTACTTGTGCAGTTATAATGGAGCTTAAAGCTACAATATGTAGCTTTTTTGGCCACAAGAGGGCGCAGTTTCCAACAATAACAAAGGCATATGTTTATGAAGCAGAGATGAGCTGAATGATGGGACTTGCTGTCAAGCTGATGGATCTAATAATTTTTATGGATTAGTGAAAACACTCATGTTTTTTTAACATTACTGTGGTATAAACCATGCCGCGATTGCTAATAAGAGTCACACGCGAGTCCCATGGATATAAAGGTATAAGGAAATTTTATTCCATTGAACTACATGCAAGTGCTGGATTACTCACACAGGTCAGTTTATTAGATGAATTAAACTTGTGAGGGAAACGCAGTGCTGTTCCACTTGGTATAACGTTACACTATCACACTAAACGGCATTTAAATGCGTGTTGAAAGTTATAATGTTATTCGACGTGTTAGTTTGTTTGCTATACGAAACTAGCAGCTACATGTAGATCAACATAAGAATGACACACTGACCATATTCTAACATTTCATCATGTCAAGCTAACGTTATAACATTGATTTGTTTCATGTACATTTGCTCACCTGTCTAATAAAGCTGTAAAGTCATGAATCGTGAAGTTCATGTCCAAATTAGTCACGGACGCTAGCTCTCTGTCGAGTGGAAGTCAGTCTCGGATGCTAGCTCTTGGCATTTCAAAAACATCATGCTGATATTGATCCTCATTTTAGTTCTCCTTGTTTGTCCCAAAGTCTGCTTGCCATGGTCTATGTTTGAACGAAACAAGAACTGGGTGCCGCTAAACGTTACTCACGACGTAGTTGTCCACGTCTGTCGCCATGGTTGCGTCATAGCTATGGCAGTACGAGCGGAAACTGAGGATAGCGCAGATATTGCGTCATTGACAGGAGACATTTTTTTCCGGGACGGCCACTTATTTAAAATGGGAATTTCTCTGAAATAAAAAATTGACACTTTTGGGATACTGTAAACTACACAACTGCAGGAAATATATCACTGTGCAAGTGATTTTTGGATGTTTTATTACAAAATTCTTACCTATTGGACCTTTGATGTTTTTTTGCTTGGTCGAGCTACACTTCATATGACTCATTGTCCAACTATACATGACAAAATGGGCAACTGAACATTTGAAGCATTAAATATCACATCGCACATCACCATGCACACATCAGTGAGGCCAAAGAGATTAACGTGTGAACCTGTTGGACAAGGCCGTGCTACAATTGCATTACATTCTGTGGGTCTGTTAGTCCAATTTCACACAAAAACAGACCGGCAACTATATCAGACGAACTAAACCAACCTTCCAGTTGTACACTAGGAATAGATCTGCTTTTGTTTTGAAGGCACAAAAGTTTGAAGGTCAGGGAAGTTTCAAGCAATGATCCACAGTGCTGGCCCAAAATGACCTTCTCATTCCCTCAACTGTGGGAATGTGGTTTTCTATTGAAGCACGCCAACCTTTTCAGCCATCCACCACCTCATCTCCCGCTGCTGAATAAACTCCTTTTGAATAAATTAATTTCCACTTTGACTGGACTATGAGGAGGATGGAGAGCAGCCAGAAGTCACAACACGGCATCCGGAAACCAATGAACCTATAGTAGCTTTTCTTGGTGTGTTGGTGGTCCTGGTTAGTTGATGACATTTTATTTTCCTGAATAAGTAGGTTTTCCAACATAGACCAGGTCAAACCATTTTGTGCTGCCGTTTTAGATCATTTGGCCTTTTTATAATAAGTTAAGGTTCCTAAGGTTTTCAAAACGTTACATGATGCGACTCAAATGTAATGACTTGCTCATGTGTTTCTAGATCCTTTTCTTTATCTTATATATATATTATAAATGACCCAATTGTTGACTGCTTGTTGAGGCTTTAGCTTGGTATCTTTTTTATGAAGCCATATACCACTAATGGACCATGCACAAGCGGAACGACAGCGCAGGGCCTATAGTTTGAAAATTGTGTCCACCAAGACAACATGCCTCCACTACCCCTACACACTGACCTAGACCCTATCATTATACTGAACGCCTTACACAGCAGATGACTTGGTGACTGTTGGCTGTCAACAAGCTCCATTCAGCTAACTTCCTCATGCTTAGATAATGACATTGCTACAAGATCTAGCCAAAAATGTCAAAAATGACATGCTCAATAAGTTATGACATGTTTTTACACTGCAAATTAAATAAGTTGTACAAGATAATTTTGTGTCTTTTTAATGTTATTTAAGTTGTTTATTTATTTTATTTTTTTTACAAGAATTGAATAGTCACTTATTTAAGAAGGACTATTACTATTGCATTCAGACATTGCGCAATGGTTTCGGTGAGAATTGAGACTTTCGAGAATTCGTTTGAGGAAGAGAATCAGCATTCCTTGTGTTTATCTCCGTTTCAACCCCGGCATCTTGAGAAACCCCATAAAATGAAGAGACAGCTGCACCACAGGACTCATGCACTGTCTTTAAATTAGAGTTGGAGGGAGTGCTTTTTATGAAAAATGTGCTAACGAAGTTTGGTGACTACAACACCATTCACATGGTAATTTAGCACGGTTTGCCATTGGAATGCAACTATTGCTTCCAGAGATCCCACCATGGACATTTGCAATTAGAGTATTGCAATAATTGCACAAAAAATAAATAAATAAATTACTCTAACCAAAACTCAGGTTATGTGTGTGTTTAGGCATGGAAAAAAAATGTAAATGTGATGACATAAATACATAATTCTTGTCAAGATCACAAAACAATAATACTGTACATAATACAATAATGTGCTGGAAAACACAGTCAAAACATATTATTATTGAATATACGTGTATATATGTATCTACAGTATATACAAAATATATACATATACACACATATATTCAATAATAATATGTTTGTGTTTACATAATACATGTGTGTGTATTGCGTATAATTATTTTATATATATAAATACACACACATGCATGTATATATAAGAAATATGTGCATGTATATATTCTATGTATATTTGTAGAAAATGAATATTATTTATAAATATTAATATTTTATATATAAATAACAATTTTTTCTTAAAATATATACAGGCATGTGTGTGTAATTATAATTATATATACAAAATAATACTCAGTACACACACGTATTATGTAAACACAAACTTTTACTTTGGATACGATTACCCAGCACTACAAACACATATATACAAACAAACACACACACACACACACACACACACACTCTGTTTAGCAAGTGTATTTGCCAAAGATGCGACATTATTAAAATTCAGGCTTATATTAAAATTCTAATATTATTTTTGTCTAAATAAACTAGATTTAAGACACTAATACCAGTCATTTCAAATGTTAAATGTAAATTTAGGCATCACAATTTTGCACATTTAATTTTACACGTTAATAAATTATTATTGTTTTTTATATTAACTTAAATTGAGCAGATGACGACAAAGAATCTGAATATAAATACAGGCAAATTGAGCATACACACTTTTTTCCTCTTTTGTTTGTTTTAGGTCTCATTTAGGGTTTCCTCACCTCTTAATTTTCAGCCATATTTCTTGGTAAATGTCTTCTCTATAGCCACAAAAGACAGTGACTAAGAGACAAAAACAAGACAATCACAGGCCACATGGGACAGTAAATCGAGCAGGGAAAAAAAGCTCCCGGAGCTTCAACAAGGCTTGATTGTGTCTGTAGTGTATTAAAACCTCTTGTGACCTCACAGCCAGGTGATTGGACGACGCTAAGCCCGGCTAATGCCGAGTGATGTGGATGAGCGTAGGACCGTCTTGAGGATCAAATGTGCACACACTTGTACTTTCACATGCACACTCAGTCAATGGGATTTAGACTGGAGTCCTCCCTCCCTCCTTCTCTACTCTAATCGCAGTGTTGTGGTTTTCTCGCTGTGGCTCTGTGGTTGTTTTCTCCTCCCTCTCAGGAAACTCTGTCTCTCTCTCTCTCTTCGCTGTGTATATAAGTAAGATGTGGGTAGGCTTTTCAGCAGACAGAGACAAACTATGCTAGTGTATTGTAGAGGTGGAGAGGTGTGTGTAGTGTATCATCAGCCGTATGTGACGGAGGCAGCGGCGTGGGATCTACAGGTGAGTGACTTTTAATTACTGACTCAATATATTATACACACATTTAACATGACCCGGTTGACATCAGCATGCTCTCAAAATAAAGCGGATGACGAAACTAGGCACATTCCATCTTCTTATAGCGTTTCTAAAATTGTTGTCCGTTGTCTCAGTCAACTCTATAATTCATTGTGTTTTCATTTCTGCACATACTTTGTATCCAGAGTTCAGTAAATGTTTTTTGAATGCCTGTAGTCACATGATCTGTGTAAACCTGTGAAGCAATATGAATTTTTTGTAAAGTGTTTCGGCAACATACCAAAGCTGTCAAAGAGCAAAGTTTGCCCTTTTCACCTAGTCACCTAGAGGTAAAGATGTTTACACGTGGTTTCAAAGAACTTGAGAGATGTTTTACATTTATCTGTATTGAATTTTTAATTGTGCATGTATGCTCATTTTCTGTATTTAGATTACCTTCGCCGTCATCTAATACTCACTTAAATGTAAATATTTAACATTTTTACAACAAACAATTTAATGACATTATGAAATGTAATCGTAAGCAAATCCCGAAATTAATATCCATTTTGCATAATGTTGTGATGCATAAATTCACTCATAGAAAACAATAAGAACCATACACATTTTAACATAATACATTTCCCGTTTTTAATGTCGTTTATATCGGTTTATATGGTGTTTTTAATATGCTTTAAGATAAACCATGGGCAAATTCATATGTCGACGCCATTTCTGAGTTTTGAACTCCAAGGAACCAAATACGATCTAAAAAACGCGTCATAAACTACCTTATGACCAATCACGTCAACTAGTGGATCTCGAAGATGGTGTGAGTGAGTGGAGGTGGGGCTAATTTGCATATTCATAGGAAAAATCGTTTTATCATGTAATGTTGGTGTTCAAAGATGAGTTTTAAGGGCTAAAATTATTGACTACAGGGGAACTTACTTTAAAATAATTATTAGACAGAATTTTAAAACCAATGAATCCTAAATATATCACTGTAAATATATATTTGAGAGTGTTGTGACATTTATTTGAAGGTAAAAGTGCCAGGGAAAGACCTCTCCGCAAAGAAAATCAAATGACAGAAAACCTAATTAGCCCATTCCAAATATATGTGTTACTCAAAGGGTTTAATTTAAAGTTTACTGTCAGGAAATGTGCCGTGGCACCACTGAGGTCTTTGAACAGTGGCTCTGTAAATATTTTAAAGCGAGTTAATCAAAGGGAAGGGTTTACAGATGAGATAACGTACTTCCGGATGGAGAGTTTCTCTTGGGCGACGGCTAGTGACGCTGAGGAAACTGACAACCTCTAACGTCAAAGTTTCCCAGGAGCCCATGATCATTGTCAAGGCATCTTGTGGTATAAGGTGAAATTGAAAACATTGTGACAAAATACCATTTCGACGTCAGCTTTACTTAAAAGTAGCTTAGTGTGTCAGCAGTGCCCAAAATAGGATTCTTTGATCTTCAAGAGATCACTCGTCCTTAAACAATCCACCTCAAAGCTAAACACGTCCTCAGATTAACCTGGCGTATAACTCTGTTTGGGTTCCACCGTGATTAAGATTCCCTTTTTAAGGTTTTGTTTACCACTCGAGCATCAAATTCAGCACTAAATAACCAAAATAAGCCTGTTATCTGTGATCTTGGTGTGTGATCTTTGGATTCCAATGACTTTGCAGATATTTTCCATTTGATCTCTCCTCAATGACACAAAGCTACGGACGGATGTCACAGAACATCATCTCATTTCATTTGAGGCAAACAAACGATTAAATGGGGAGACTCACGTCGTCCTCAGAGCCACAGATATCAAACCACACATCTTCTGAGGAGCCCAGAGGTTTCTTTATGGCGATTCAAGAAACCTCTGTCTCCTGTTGTAAATCTAGCTCAGTCATATTTATGTTTCCAATTTGGATCAAATTCACATTTGGATGGGACTGAATGAAGTCGCGTCGACATCCTAGCATCAGGTCGACTCCATGCCTTTTGTGGCTTCTCTGAAGCCGTCGCCTGAAAGGTTTCTGTAGAAACCACTCTCACTAAGCCACATGTATCTTAATTATTGCCAGAGAGGGCTGAGGGTTTGAGGAAGCTTGAAGATAAATAAATCTATCTAAAATACAGGCACAATCACTTCAGTTCTCCATGCCCCAATGTTTTCATTGATGGCTAACCGTAAAGATTTGTGGAAAGTTTTATTCATTCCCGCCACTTGAATCATCTCGCATACTTCATCGCATAATCATATGTGAAAAACCTTTGTCACAAGCCTGTTCTGGATTACAGTATTTTAAGTAAAGCCTTTAATAAGTCATCAATGTGTGAAGGTATTCCATGTGCAACTACCATAAAGATCATCTGCGAAGCTCAGTGCAAGCAGAGGTCTTATTAAGCAGGAAGTGGTTTAATTCTTCCCCCTCATGGTACGGGCCCGCTGCCAGTCCTAGGGGAAAAAGGAGCTCCAGCACTCTCAGTCAGGCTCTTTCCACTCAATAACAACCACCACGGGGCTCCACAATTTGCCTTTATCCACAACATTCCATGCCATACCTCATTTTTCAACCTCTGATTTAGCACATGACTGCAACTAATAACCTTTCAATGCATGTGTTACCGCCATTTACTAGTGATTGGTTCCATGCCTTGCTCAGAGAAATCAGATACTCCTGATTATTTGGTACCAAAGAACATTATGTAACATCTTTAAACAAACTTAAGAGACTTTAAACCATATTTTAATTTTAATTTACACTATCCACACTGTAATAATGAAAGCCAGATGAGAGGTTTTGGATACTGTTCTTTACATTCAGTGGTTTTTTACACTTGAGGTACTCAATAAATATGAAATAAATAAATGTCATTGTATGACACACCAAAATATCAAATTATACTGTTTATTTTTTGTAAAGACAACTCAAGGACATTATACATTGGCTTTTGTGTTTTAAATTTTATAGAGCATTTTACATACTGTTAAAAATGATCATACAAAAGCATCTGGGGACTTTGTGCCTCTTAAAAATTAGTGGAACATGTTCAATTTATGTAATGAAAGAACCTGGTTACTCTGCAAGATCCTGGTCTAAGACTTGTTCAGTTCCAGGAAACTACTTTATGTTACACTGGGTACCTACACTTTCAGGCATTACATCATTTCTTGTGGTGTTCCTCAAGGCTCAATTTTGGGTCCTCTATTATTTAACCTACACATGCTTCCTTTAGCTGGTGTAATATTTAATTTCACCAGTATGTAATGACATACAAATCTATCTCTTTCACTTGCACCAGATGCCCACACTTCAATTTCCACCCTACTGGACTGCATAGTGAGCATAAGACTGTGGATGTAACAGAACTTTCAACAGCTAAACAAAGATAAGACAGAAGTACTTGTTTTTGGTCATTATGACGCACAGAGAACATCTATTGCTCCACATCTTGACTATCTGTCACTAAAAGCCTGTAATAAGGTCAAGATGTGACCATGATTTGACAGTGACTTTAGTTTTTAAAAACTTATCAGCAATGTTACTAAAACAGCATATTATCACCTCAGAAACATCACCAAAGTATGTGATATTTGCTCCCCTGCTGACACTGAGAAACTTGTTCATGCATTTGTTACATCTAGTCTTGACTACTAGCTGCAATAGCGTTTTTGCTGGGTTAACAAATATAGAGCACTATTAAACATACAAGAACTTCAGAATGCAGCTGGATGAATGCTAACTCGCTTTAAAATGAAAAATCACATTAAGCCAAGACTCAGATCGTTTCACTGGTTGCCTGTATCATTCAGAATTGAATTCAAGATTCACTTATTAGTTTTTAAATGTCTTGATGGTTCTAATATACCTTCCAATTTGTTGAATAAATATACAAGAGCAAGATATCTCCTAACATCCAATAGTAACTTATACCAAAACACAGCTAATATATATATATATATATATATATATATTTTTTTTTTTTTTGCAGATGCCACTTGGTTTCACATTTGTTTACATCTAATGGCATGAAATTTATACCTTTGTCTTTGTCTTTTAATGCTCTATCATGCAGACAGGGCATCTGGCGAGGGCAGCTATGATTATGGCTATGTGGGCGCCACACTGGTGAGAGTATGTGGCTGGATTTGGCCATTACCCCTGTGGTTAACTGCTGGTTTGACTGATGACTGCAACCCCCAAAGTAACATTTGACTCATATTCAAACCAAGCTGAAGCACAAAATGTTGTGTTTACGCTTGACCTCTCCCTACTTTGCACATTTAACTTGGCTCAAGACTTAGGATATCACATCCATCTTAAACATGAGCACCTTAGCCATTTTAGCCATAATCTACTGTGTCAGTCAAGAAATAAAGCAGTGGGTTTGCTACTGTGTATTATACAGTCATTGATTCAGTAGAAAAATCTTCACAATTTTCAGCTACTGAACTGTAGCCGCATTTTACTTTACAATCAGTCATAATTGCTTTTTCCTTGCCAAAAATATATATTATATAAAATATAAGTTTGCACCATTGACTTAAGATGCATTCTAATTCTAATATTAAGTTTAAATTAAGAGAACATTTAAAATATGAACATTAAATCAAAACTTCTATAATACTCTTATTGCAAATGATTCATCAGTGCATGTTATTCTTAAGAAAAACAGTCATCTCTGTAATCTTTACCAAGTCAAAATGTACAACATGACATCATGACTTTTGCATAAACTTACACGCCCCTTTCAAGTCAAGTGGCGTGTTATCTATACGCATTTTGAGCTATCCGCATGTATGTGTGTATGTCTACGCCGTTAAATGTCCGAGTGATTCCGCGTGTATGTACATGTCGTTAAATGTCCGAGCAAAACGAAGAAAAATGTAGATCTAAATCTGGGGAGTGATATTTTTTTCCTAGGATGGTAGGGGAAGACTCATAAATGGTATTAACCACAGTGACGGGTGGGTTTAGGGACGGGGTTGGGGTGGGTCATATATTTATACAGTAATGTAACGTTAAGTCAACGGCGTTCATAAACACACTGTGTGATAGCACGCCAAAAATGGAAATACGAATTGGCGTGTCATACATACGCCATTTCATGAGATCAGTCTGAAATGTAACAACTTGCTCTGCCTCTAAAATGACTTGTCCAAAAAAATCCCAGAAGCACAGTAACCAAAAAGCTATTTAGGAATTGTTTTAGAAATCTCGCATTCAGGTTTGGATCAGTTCTGCTATGCAACACCCAATTTTCATGACGTAAACCATTTCAAATAGATCAAATCTGGTTGTTAACACCAATTCCTGTGCTATCAGTAGCTAAAATAGTAGATCAGGACACAAGCAACGACAAGTTCAAAGTTTCAATCCCTGCATGACCTGATAAAATATCGACCTTGAATGGTGGCCTCAGACTTTTTTTTGTCCCTCACAGGATGATTGACAGTTGCCTGTGCTGAGTCACGTAGCAGAATGCCCGGTGTGCCCTGCGGGGCCTTGCAACACCACACTGTGCCCCTAGCCTGTGCCATCATCTGTTCCTGGCTGTTGATCCTGGTCCATTCTGCCTTTTGCCAAAAACCTGCAAAGCTGCCTCTGGTGGGCCGCAAGCCTTTCCTGGCAGCCTGGAATGCTCCCCTGGATATGTGTACATTGAAGTACAATATCAACGTCAGCCTTGATATTTTCCACATCAGCGGCAGTCCACGAGCCGTCCACACGGGCCAGAATGTCACCATCTTTTATGCCAACCGCCTGGGTTACTACCCTTTCTACAATGAGCAAGGGGTTCCCATCAACGGAGGCCTACCTCAGAACAACAGTCTTGAAGCACATTTTCACAAAGCCCGAAAAGACATAGCACACTTCATCCCTTCGGAAGACTTCCGTGGACTGGCCGTGATCGACTGGGAGTTCTGGAGGCCACAGTGGAGTCGTAACTGGCACAAGAAAGACATTTACCGACAGCAATCCCGCGAGTTGATCAAACAGGCCTACCTTAATGTGACCGACGAACAGGTGGAGGAGCTGGCACGCTTGCGCTTCGAGAAGAGCGCCATGGAGTTCATGCAGGGCACGCTACAGCTCGCTACACAAGCTCGTCCGCATGGCCTTTGGGGTTTATATCTCTACCCTGACTGTCACAATTACAATGTACATGCACACAACTACAGCGGCACATGCCCCCAACAAGAGAGCCTCCGTAATGACCAGCTGTTTTGGCTGTGGAACAGCAGCACTGCCCTTTTCCCAGCCCTCGCTATACGCAAGAGCCACACAGACAGCATTCGCAACCTGCACTTCTCGCAGAACAGGGTACGGGAGTCACTGCGCCTGGCCTCCCTTACCTCATTGCCCTATGAACTGCCTACATACGTATACACACGCCTGGGGTACAGAGACGAGGCCATGGCTTTTCTGACTCAGGTAAGTGCATATGTTCAATGAGAAATGTAAAATGTGCTTTGGGAATCATACACATGTTCTTAATACAATCTCACCTTACAGTAAACATCCCATTTTGCTAGTCTATACTCATATAAACTATTATGGAGTCTGAAATCAAGAGCTCCCTCTTGTGGTCCAACAGAATAAATAGAGAATATTACAAAGGATGTTTGAATGGGTTTGACTATCACACCTATCTCAATGACTAAATTTAAACTTATTATAATAATTTACGTTTTAAGAAACTGTGGCAGTGAACTAACATTCTAATGATTTTCTGTACATATACACACTAATTTGTTTTCATTTTACAGAATGACTTGATACATACGATAGGAGAAAGCGCTGCTTTGGGAGCTGCAGGATTTGTCATTTGGGGGGATCTTAACCTCACTTCCTCAAGGGTAAGACTTTTAACATATACCTGTACACATTGGTCAAGAGTCGACTGCGGTTCATCAGTGACAAATCTGCTTCAAGAAGTCAATTCTTAGAGCAGGCATTTCAAAAATGTTAATTGTAAAGGATGTATGAAACAATTCAGAGAATTTACCATTTTGACTCTGCTTTCTATTAAAGACTGCAATTAACAATTATTTTTATTCCATTTATTGAATCGTTTTCCTGTCCTTTTCTAAGTTTAACTGGTCAAACTTGGGTGTCTGTGTCATCATAAAGTCTGAAAATGCCTGCCCTAAATATTTTATGCCACACTTTTATGCATGGATAAGGACACCAGATATGATTTATCATAGTGAGTGCAACACAATATGGCATTCACATTGATTTCTTGCTCAGCTACACCAAGTTCCCTGCAGTTTAATGAACTTCCTGAAAATTCCTTTGTCCCCTCAGCACAACTGTTCCAAAGTCAAGGCATTTCTGAACTACAGACTGGGTCAGTACATTACTAATGTTACCCGGGCAGCAGAAGTCTGTAGCGACTTCCTGTGTCAGTCCAACGGTCGCTGTGTCCGTCGAGACCCACAGGCACCACACTACCTGCACCTGAGCCGCGGCAGCTATCGGATCCTGTCCAACCGAAACGGCACCTTCACCGTGACCGGATGGCACTCTCAACGCGAGCTCCAGCTACTCGCCGACAGGTTCCACTGTCACTGTTACCAGGGGTACGAGGGAGACCGCTGCGATAGCATAGAGCCCGAGGAAACCGAAGAGGACAACATGATAAAAGAGGACGTGGACGAGGAGAATAAGAATGAGCCAGAGGAGGTCCACAACGACATACGGGATACTGCTGTGCCTTTACAAACTGCCTTCATCCTCACTGCTCTACTCCTTTTGTTGAACTTCAGTTGTATTTAGAGGTGAAGTGACCACCAGCATCATCACATGGAACAATAGTCATGTTTAAATGTTTGCCAAGACACTACCCTAGTCTGTGATTGGTCAATCCAAAGTCACACACCATTGGTTAAGCCAGTTACTGTGTTGGGCTGGACTGATTAAATAAACAGAATAATGTTTTGAGCCAACACTACAGAGCCAAATGTTTACACTAGTGTTCAACCAATATACATTTTTGATGGGCAATGACAATTTCTTAAGCCCCTTTCACACAGAGATTCTAGAAAATACACTGATACTGTGTCCCGGGATCATTTGATTTTGGTTGATTCACAGTGTCAGATTTTCAGGAATCTGTACGTTCACACACATCCCGTAAAGACACGTGACATGCCATCAGGACGTGATGTTCAGGTTCCTAACGTGTTAATTTTGCAGACATTGTTTTGTCGTTCTGGCGAACACAAACTTTTTTCTTTGTTAATGTGCAACGTGAAGTCGTGAACATTGATCTGCTATTTAAAACAAGCGGTCACAGAGTCGCAAGATAACTAGATCATTGCAACGACACATGTGTCATCACTACAGCACACCCCTTATGACGTTGGACCTGCCTTTTGTTCAAACAGGCTGCGTTCCGGGACTGACCCCAGCAATGTTACTAGGTCCCCATCCTGGAATCGATCCCGGGACATGTTTGCGTTCACACAAAAGGCACTCTAGCAATTCTATGGCAATATTCTGGGAACAACGCACTGTGTGAAAGGGGCTATAGAGAGCAGAATGGCTACTAAATTACATATATCATTACAACACTAAACAACATGTTACAAAATATTTACAAAATTAGAAATTAATCATTTGAAAAAAATCAATATGAAAAAAAAATACTATAAAAATTTGAACTTTTAATATTAGCAAAAAAAAACAACAACTTTATATTTAAATATTTTATATATAAAGATTTAAGACAGTTCACCTTTAAGAAAAAGTGGTCAAAGGGTCAGTTGATGGCACATCATGACTTCGGTTTTAATATTTGTTATTTTGGATTATTGAAAAAATGATAATTGTTACAATGGTGCTGTGTGATAATGTAGATAAAATGCAAGCCTTGTTTGCACAAACTTCAGGCTGAATAGATTCTAATAACTGTTCAGGATGAATGATCAGTGATTATGTCAGTTTGTCAATGTTTTCTAACAGGAAACGTCAAAAATGCTGTTTCAGCCCGTTCTCATCCCAAGGCGTCCGACATCCGACGCACATGGCACCCTTTAGCGTCAAAATGAGATGCAGATATATATGGGCCAGCAGGCGCCTCCTAGTGGTCTAACTCTAACCCTACCCCAGATCTAAACCTACCATAACCGAAGCGTGTTATATAAAGGGTGCCATGTGCGTTGGATGTATACGCATTGGCAAAAGCGTCAGTGTATGACGCCTTGGGATGAGATGCGTTGGCTGTTTTTACAAAGCACTGACACCAAGATGCTTACCGTGACGTATATTAGTAAGCTTATCTCAAACTCCACTGCTTGCTGTCAAAGCACTTCAAAGTCAGGGAGCGCTGGGTATTCAAATATTACAAAAAATTTGGCAAGATCCACAAATGATATAGGTGTCATGCTTTATAATCTAAACTGGCCAAATTAGCTTCATACCAAATCGCTCAACATAATATAATTACAGACTATATTACTGACTTGTGCTAATGGAGCAAAATAATCCATAGCCTATTGGTATAGTCATAAAATATTATGTGCCTCAATTTATAATAGTCATATTAATAAAAGAGAAAAACGGATAAAATACACAAAATCATGTTCAGATGTTGACATGACATGTGTCATTATACGAAACAATTCATCATCATATAATTCGTCATATTTTAAGCTTTATCAATATTGCACAATCGTCAGATTAATGATGAGAAAACTCAGTGGACACAACCAGAATTGAAGCTAGTTAAATTTCATAACAAAAAAATGACAAAATATCTCATGTTATTATTATTTTTTCTGTCCCTAAAATTCCTGAAATGTGTGTTTAACCAAAGATTATAAAGATGTATGCAACGTTTACACATGTAAGTTTGCATTTGTTAAAACTACAGAATGCTGTGGTGGTGAAAACACGTTATGATTGTATATTAAACTGTGCTTGTCTTTTTTGTTCTCGTCTAAATGAAGCCAGAATGATTGAAACTGATAACAAAGAAAGGTATATACCTCAGAATCTTTTAGTACTTAGAATCTGCAAATTTTTTGAAACCGTTTTAGATGTCTACACATTGTATTACATGTCCAGTTTGAGGTTGAAGGATAATTGGACAGTGTTTTATCCCTATTGTCTGACCCCTTTTTGATTCAAGATATACATTTTTCGCAAATACTGCATTTTGTAGCATGTAGACAGTAGTTAATATGGGACATTATTATCAGAGCCTTCAATATCTGTCAAAGTGTCTTTTTTTACCTCAGTGCTAAATTTTGCCGGTGTCCAAATATATTTCCATAGAGCTCTTTTTTCATCTCAAAGTCTAATATGCAATGTGTATTTTTTTTTTTTTAATTAAGCAATACAATTAACCAAATACTCAAAGACAAATGTTGCTTGACTCTTGATGCACTGCAAATAAAGGATTGTAACCTGGTCTTGATTTTTTATTGTCAAAATTGTCTTTGAATGCACAGGAATTGCAACTAAGTTAACTGTACCTTAATTTACACAGAAAATCTGCTTACATTTTCATGCTTTTATCAAACACACTGTGTTAACATTCACAGTGCAGGGTGGAAAATATGTGAGTCCATCTTTGAGTCATTGTCAGGATTTTTAAATCAACTTCATTGAGCTTCAACTGCCAGACGTGTGCTTTGAGGGCAACACACACTTAAAGGGGTGGTTCAGAATTTTGAACATCGGGCCTCATTTCCAAGTGAGCCTTAGTGTTATTTATCAGTGGAGACAGTTTTCAAAAAATTTCATCCAGTCATTCCAGTAACATAGTTCGCTGGTGCTAAGCTAGCGTGAGTCAACGGTAACTTTTAGCATGCCTTTAAAAACAGTTTTACCCACTCCACAGTACACCAAGTTTACCCTTGTAAAAGGTTGTTCTTCAACCTTTCATCTTGTAATTTAGATAACTGCTGGTCTTAGTGAATTAGTTTTTCGTTTTTTTTTTAATGCCCATTATCACCTAGCCAGGCTACCTGCCATCATCATCATCATCCATCCATATCTTGCTGTTATGGAAATATCTAAGCTAAGTCAGCTAAAAGCTAAGTCAGGCTACTTGTATGGCTGAACAGAAAAGTGCACTCAGTAGGCTACTCTAAATATAAATTCATAATATATACATAAGGTTTTTTTACTTTAAAAAACTTAATAATATCATTCACTGGCTTACCTTGTGACTCGAAAGAGGTACAAGTAAATGTCCGGGTAAGACACTTCTGGCCACTGGGTGGGGTTGTTACACCAATTTGATGCTGGGAGAATAAAGGTACATGTTTTTAAAATGACCAAATTAAGTTTGTTAATTGACAATTGTTCTATGTCAGGCAGAGTGGAAATATAATTACTTTACTACATGTTTTATATAAGTGATTTCTTATGTTATTTACGCCTGTCGGCTGTGTATGGATGTTGGTTTAATGGCGCCGCGGCCCGCCAAAACAGCGGTCGATCTGACGGGTTTTATTAGATTTAAATTAGCTAATACAACCCGACTCACACTAGGCGTGTAAAAGAGAAATGAGTCTATTTGGGACTCGGCTATTATTTGAAGTTTTACGGTATACACTTAGTTACACTATACTTTTATTCACTCTCTATTCTCCACTAACGTTGTCAGTGTCGATCTAACGTTATCAGTTATGAAATGGCTAACTTAGCATAGCACGTCAGTAGCCTAACAAAATATATTACCTGTAAGTTACATCTGTAGCTGTTGGTGCATCTGGAAAGACGGCTAGACTGCATTTCTTGTCATAAACCTGTGACCGTTTCGATTAAATGGTTCTTTAAAGTCGTCTGGTCTAAAATGGTCACTGCAAATCCTCAATTTCAACGTCCCAACTGTCACGCGCTTCTGTTCTGTGTTTACTTTTGACGCAGTGACATTACTACTAAGCAGAGTGAAGTATAATTCCGCCGCTGCTGAGAAACTAGTTCCTGTAAATGTAATGCAATCATTGAGAATTTGAGATGACAATAGTTTGATTTCTAACATTATTCACTCAACAGAGACTTACATTGATAGTCTGGCGTTATAATTGATTTGCTTTTGGTGTACTTTGGAGTGGATAAAACTGTTTTTAATGGCATGCTGAAAGTTACTGTTGACTTGCGCTAGCCTAGCACCGGCGAACTATAAAAATGGGACGTCCAAAATTCCGAACCACCCCTTTAAGGTAACGATGATGAGACAGAGAACTTATAACAAACACAAATGAGGATGATTAATAGAACACACCTAAAAACTCCTGGGTTATTTCTTCAACCCATTTTCTGGGTTATTCGTGTTGGGTTAAAATTATGGGTTATTATTTCAGAGAGTAACCATTTTCTGGGTTATGTGTAATATTTTGACCCAATTCCTGGGTTGTTTGGGTTATTTTCTCTGTCTCTCTCAGCGGAAGTTGGGTGAGTGGAGGCGAGACTGGATTCGCGTGCGTGTTTTTTGCGTGAGTGTTTTTTCTATCTTTTTCTTTGTTGTTTTAGTTTCATTTAATGCATTTGTTATCGTTAGTGGTGTGTTTTAATTGGGTTAGTTTGTTGGTGGCGGCGGCGACGACCGGTGAAACTGAGTCATGCCGGTGTTCTGACGATTCATGCTACCGGCGGTGTGGGAGGTTTTTGGGGCTGGAAGCGCTCACGCGTCGACGTGCGTTTAAACTTTGCCCAAATAGACTGTTCTGTGGAGGATTGCGCTCTGGCAGTCGAAGGAGTTATTGGTTATGAGAGCATTAAATCCACGTCTAGGATGAACAACGGAGTTGTGATTTTTGTTGATAGTTTTGACAAAGTTGTATCGGTCAGATAGCAAACTGACTCACCGGATACGCCGCGGAGGTTCCACAAGCTCCGGTACGGATCCGGAATGGAGTCCACTTGCACAGCGGATCCGGAACAGACAAGGATTGTGGATCCAGACCATATCCACTGATAAATCAATCAGCTTATCCGCCTCGGATCCTATTTGGACCCGTTCATTTCGGTCAGGAAACCTTTCAGATCCCAATTATCTGGCCAAAACTATAGCTACAGATATATTTAAAGTCTAATGGTGGATGACATTAGATAGACTGGATTGCTCTATAAAAGTTTGCAGTGTATCTGCCTTTATTAATTTGAATAAAACACGAAATCATTAAACATAAATAATTTTAGCCAGTAACAATAAAATAAATAGGCTATTGCAGACGATAAATGTATTTACTATTTTTTTTAAATAGTTTTATTCATGTACACATTGAATAGACATTACAGAAAAAAATGAAATCAACCATGAATTGTACCAAGAACATAATTTAATTTAGTGAAAAACATTACACTAAAATGATGAAGTATTTTTTTCACTACTGTTGGTTCACGGTTTGCTGCCAGGTTGAACAACTGGATTACATGTTTTCTACTGTCGTCATCGGTGCCGGTGTTGTGCCGAATTTCGACCCCCGCCAAATTATTACCCCCCTAGTATTGGTAGGTTTAGGATTAGTTGTGGGGGAGGGGTTAAGATTAGGGGCGGGGTTGGGATTAGGCAATCAGGTACTGACTTCAACGAGGGGGGTAATAATTTGGCAGGGGGTCGAAATTAGGCACAACACCGGCACGGGAGACGTGGCTCTTTCTCACAGCACCTGTAATACACAAGCAGATTTTCATTAAATGTCATGAAACGCTGGCGAATGACTCGCGATCCCCGATTCGTCTCGGTGTGTACGGCCCTTTACTGTGTGATCAGTGATAAATTCTCTTTTCCTTTTGAGTAACGAGCAACAAAAAATTTGAAAAAATCTGAAAAAAAATACTTAAAAATAAATACCCTACCATAGCACAAACTTTTCAATCATTTCAAAATATCATTAAAACTGTTTTTTTTTTCTCAATCAATGTACACAGATGGAAGACCAAAGGAAACAACGGTTACCATTTTACACGATTCTCTTCATGACATTGGGGCATCTTAACACATCGTCTCCTCCACCAACAGCAGCACCTCTCTTTCACAGGTCTTTTGTGCTGTTATGGAATGCTCCTGTTTCCAAATGCCAAACATTGAATATCCCTCTAGATTTATCGATGTTCCAGGTTGTCACCACACCTTCCAGGGTACGCAATCAATCCCTGACCCTGTTCTACCAAAAACGACTTGGGCTTTACCCCTATGTAGACCTCCACTCCTTGAAGGAGATTAACGGTGGCATCCCACAAAGGGGCAACCTGTCTGCTAGTTTGGAGAAATCTAAGGAAGAGTTTACCCAATACATTCTGGACTCAACTGCTGGTCTGGCTGTCATGGATTGGGAAGAGTGGCTTCCAACGTTTGACCAGAATTTGGACATCAGGGAGATATATAAAGAACTGTCCATCAACTACACCCTGGAACAGAACGCTTCTCTTAACCTGCAAGAAGCAAGCAGCGAAGCCAAACAACAATTCCAGAAGGAAGCCAGAGGTTTCATGGAGGAAACTCTGAAGATAGGAATCTATCATCGGCCTTTGTACCTTTGGGGCTACTACTTGTACCCAGACTGCAATAATAATCACTTTGAAAGGTCAAATTATACAGGTACTTGTTCAGAGAAGACAAAAGAGTTGAACAACAAGCTGCTGTGGCTGTGGGATGTTAGCACCGCCCTTTACCCCTCAGCATACCTGCCGGTCTCCGTGAGTGGAAGCAGGAAAGCTGCACTGTTCGTACGTCACCAGGTGCAAGAGGCAATGAGGGTGGCAGCCCTGCCAAAACACAACCACACTGCACCAGTCTACGTTTACCTACGGCCTCTCCTAAGAGCCCAAAAGGAGCTTTACATGAATGAGGTACGGTATCGAGACTACTGGTTATTATAGGCCAGGGGTGGCCAAACTCAGTCCTGGAGGGCCACTATCCAGCAAAGTTTAGCACTTAACACTCTTGCCTGGAAGTTTCTAGTATGCCTAGTAAGACAAAAATGAGCTGTTTCAGGCATGTTTAATTGAGTTCAACAGGATTGGATTGGACACCCCTGTTATAGGCCATAATGGGCTATATGCACGCATAAATTCCGCATTTGACGCAAGGATGCTCGTCCATTTCCGGTTGTGGAGATTAAAGCGGAGGAAAACCGAGGAAAACGGGATTATGGCAGAGTCTTCAAAATTTACTGTCCTCCCGCCTTTGAAACGAAACGTACATACGTTTAGATGTAATATTATATATAGTTATATTTATCTAATATAATTTTAAAAAGAAGCATAAACACAACGAGGGGTGTCTGTTTTATCTGTTTTTGTGACTAACGTTTCTTTAGTATAACCATGGAGTATAAAATTCAATATAAATTCTCGGTAATGCATTCAACTCTACGATCGGCGGAAGTTATCGAGCATCCTTAATGCTTCACCGGAAATACCGCCGTGCATAGAGCCCATAGAGCATTGTATTGGCAATTATGGTACACGGAATAGTCTAGGACAGGGTTGGGAAACTTCAGTCTTGGATGGCCATGGTCCTGCAAAGTTTAGCCCCTCCAACCCTAATTAAACACACCTGAACAAGCTAATGATTTTGTGGTGAAGTAAATACTACAGAAAAAACAATGTAATTTCTACATGAAAAAGTTAGCTCAAGAATTAGACTGGTCTAGGACAAGGGTGTCAAAACCTATTCCTGGGGCTACGTCCACATTAATCCGCATACATTTGAAAACTGCGTTTTCGTTTAAAAACGCTCCCTGTCTTCTAAGAAACTTCGAAATTTACCTTACTGCGCATGCGTGAAACCTCACAAAAGCTCACTGTGATGATACAGATGGAAAAATAAATAATAAAGTTTTTGCGCAATTCGTCTAACAGGATAATTTTATTTAGCAAAATATCTCACGAGGTCCAGGTCGCACTCAGTCACCATGTGTTTGGTCATGGATCACATGACTAAACTTACGTCATCGTTTTCAAATACCTCCGGGCAGCTTCACAGTCCACACTACAACGCGAAAATGGCGTTTTCAAATTTATTTAGTTTTCATTGACTTAAAACGCTGTCTCAGTGTGGACGGAAGGCCAAACCGGAGAGAAAAAAATACGCTTTCAAATGAAAACGTATTAGTGTGGAAATGGCCTTGAGGATCAATGGCTTGCAGAGTTTAGTTCCAAATTATTCCAACACACCTGCTTGGAAGCCTGAAGACAATTGATTGTGGTTCAGGTGTGCATAATTGGGGTTGCAGGAAAACCCCAAGTTTCTCACTGACACGCCCCCAACTCGTACAGATCGGGGCTTAAAGGCACACTATGCACTCTCTGGTTTTTTTGTAAAACAGTGACCTCTAGAGCCGCTGTGGTGTACTTGCACTGTCGTAAATAACCGTTATTCCCCTGTTACTGCATATACTGTCAAGTGCTAGACTGCTTTTTAATAATAAAGTTGCCTATCGCGTTTGCTGGCTTATAGCGTTTTTACATGATTTCTGCAAAATCAGAAGTAAATAGCCTATAGTGTATAGGCTACTGTATAATTTCATTCATGTTTTTTGATTGTAATGTTAAAATTATTACAAAATGTCAGATGACATCAATCAAGTTAAATGTACGTCGCATTATTTCATAACATTGGACGTTATGATTTAGACATGATTACAATTTATCATAATAGCAAATTGTGTTCAATTATTTACAACCTCTAGGCTTATATATGTCCTAATAATTATGTGAGATATTGACTATGTCCTCATGGTAATCGCAAGAATCAACATCAACAGCGTCAAGATTTGATTGATTCATAATCAACACAATTTGAAGTTACAGTCGGGAAGTGTACTGTTAGTCAGATAAACTTGATATAACAGTAACTTACACACGTTATAAGAAATCCGAACCAGACACAGGACTAAAGATACGTGATAAATACACATCACAACACCTGAGTTCAGCTGGCAAACTAGCTCTTGTGGCAAGCTCGGCAATAAAACATAACGGAAAAAACAACAAGACTAAGAGAAACGACTGTTTTTAGGAAGTCTGCTTAAAGCTCTGGTAATCGAAAGCTATAGACATGTGAGAATTATTGAACTGGTCTTATTATCAACAACGGATGAATGAACAGCACCGTAAAAAATTACATACCACAAGCCAGTGCAGCAACATACAATATAGAAACAACTAGTATACAAATACAAACAAGTTTATAAATAAGAGATTTACTTACAAGTCCATCAACAAGATCGCCAGGTCAGCATCGCAGTTACAATCCAGTGCAGCTTTTAAGCTCGCGCCAACGAGTGAAAGCCCGACTGAGTGGACTCTTGTCCGGTTTCTAGCACGGTCTGATTCTCTTTCCCTGTTTCGAAAGTAGCTTCATACAGTATAATGTTGTTGATGCGTGTGACGTCGTTGCCGTAAACCATTTCGTGATTCTCACGCGCTGTGTCAGGGGCGCCACTCTCAAACTTGCATGGCTGGTTTTTCCGGCGGCGTCCCCCCCAAGCTTTCCAACCAGGATGATTCGCCCTACTATGACTTTGTTAACCACCAAAACGACTTTGAAGCTGTTATATTAAGGTACAGATCTTGCATAGAGTGCCTTTAAAGAAAATCCCGAGCTCCCCACTGGTATTGGCGTTCAAGTGCGTTCAACTCGTAATTACGATCTATACGAGATGACTTGAACGCAGCATAGAGAAGCAGGATTGGCCACCCTTATCTAGGCCACATAGGTTACTTGCAGTAATAGGCTGTCTGTTTCTCTCCAGTTTGACTTGGTCAGCAGTATTGGAGAGAGTGCAGCTCTGGGGGCTTCTGGGGCAGTGCTGTGGGGGGCTAGTGCTGATTACAACGACGAGGTAATTTTTCTCTAAAATGGACAGTTCATCCAAAAATGTCGGGGATGTATATAATTTTCATTTTGATCTACATATAAATCTATTGTATGGATTCAGAAGACATGGAATATATAAGTTTTATGGACCAGTTTTTATGGTACTATAATGTCATTTCTTGAGCAATGATCCATGGTAGAAAGAAAATACTATGTTTGTGGAACAACATGAGCGTGAATCATTTTTAATATTGTGTGAAATTTCATATTTTTGATGCTTCTTATTCCTTTCAGACCTCGTGTGAAGCCTTGTCTACATACCTGTCGGACACTTTAAACCCCTATATCGCCAATGTCACCTCTGCAGCCCATTTATGCAGCAAGAGTCTCTGTCAAGGCAATGGACGTTGTGTCCGCAAAAACTACGACTCGGACGATTACCTACACATTAGTTCAGAAAGCCACCAAATCCTTAGGAAAGATGGGAAATATGTTGTCACAGGTAGCCCTTCCCCAAGTGAATTCACTTACTGGGAAAATAAATTTACCTGTCAGTGCTATGAAGACAGAAATTGCACAGCTACAACACCTTCTTTCTGACAGAAAATGTTCTAGAATAAGCTGACAAATTTAGTGTATTTGAAAAGAGTATCATTCATTTAGTTACTTTATAATTTGTCTTTAATAAAAAGTGACTGAATATAACAAGCAATAAAAAAAATTTGCTTTGAGATAACAGAAAATCAATAAGATCTTTCTTCATCATGACCACAACAATGTAACATATGACCAATTTATGCAACAATTTAACATTATATATTGAACAGTTGTAGACTTCACAGTGTCCGAATAATCACAACATGTTCATTTTTTTTAACCACTAATGATATTTTCAGAGCACATGAATTTGTCATTCATTAAAACTGTCAAATGATGTCACAGAATGTCAAATCATCACGATTTTAAACAACTTTTGATAACACTATACACACAGTATACAATGCAACGGCCAAGCATCATTGTCAAGTTACTTTACTTCTAAAAATTATAGCACATCTTAAATGACAAACCTGCAACTTTTTCAAACTGCCTTGTTTCTTCTCATCACTTGTCATGTCAGATACCACAGGCAGACTTTTGGTGTCACAGAAATGCTCCAAGCTTCTTCTGAACGTTAATCTGTAGACCTCAAATATGTTCCACACATGTATAAGCTAGTCTAGTCTACTACTTCATCCCCTTAGGAAGTGTTTTACCCAAAAAATTGCCGATTTCTGTAAAAACCACTAGGCGTCGCTGTCTCGACATTACTTATTTTTAACATATTTTAATCTAGGCCTACATATATCTGTAGAATACACAAACCCAACCGGACAAATATTTACTCTTCAAAAGCAAAGGTGGCTTTTTTACACAGTTGGTAAAAAAAAAAACAACTATTCATTTGAAAGATACTATTGCCTTCTACATGATCACTGAATCTTTTTTTTTTTCAATTTAATTCAACATAACATATAGCCTACATAATATCGCATTTAACCTCTCCGATCACGATCACCCAACACGTCGAATAATTATATATATATATATATATATATATATATATATATATATATATATATATATATATATAGGGCTGTCAAACGATTAATCGCTATTAATTACATACAAAATAAAAGTTTGTGGGTGCACTGTGTATAATTATATATATATATATATATATAATATATAATATAGAATTGAGGTTATATTCCATCTAACATTTAGGCTACTTAATGTTTTGATATAGGCCTACTAAGGCTACTCTGCACCTTGTAGAGGTCAAATTATAAACGACTCAGTTTTGTTTTGAAACCATTCAATATCTCGGATTTCATCGATTTTTGAAGCTTATATAGGCCTAATGTTGAGTTTCTTTTCATCTGCTTGATGACGTGCTAAGTGATGAAGAAAAACCTGATTGGCTTAAAATGTCCTCTTTGACAGTGATTGCTTATTGATGAAAAGGAAATCTCTTTTTAAATTTCAATTTAGCTGAATTCACCCTGTGTTACTTATCCTTGACTGTAGATGGCAGTGTGGTTACCTTACAGCACAGCAGCTATTCACATTAATACTGTAACTGATGATCCCTAAGTATTTTAGTGAATCGAAATGTTTATTTTGAATCTGAGGTTCTCAAAAGTTTCTAAATTGTAATTGTATTTTACAGAACACAAAAGTCTCTAATGGCAGACCACCACCAGTTGTTTGTTTCCAATTCACTTAACAAATCTCGAAGAAGATTTAGAAACACCCCCACCCCTACCCCAAAAAGTGCTCCAGTAGAGCTGAAACTGCAACATCAATATGATCAACAAAAGAGCCTGCAGTGACCGCCTGTGACAGGCATAGTGTTCTGCCTCTGAAGGGGTGGTCCGCGCTTCTACAGGGTGACATGACGCAAATGTCCCAGGACGGACAAAAGACAGCTTTTACTATTGAGTATCCAAACAGAGAGTGGCTGCAACAGTGACTCTATAAAATAAAGGAAAACATGCAGCTAAAAGGGGACGGGTGAGAAAATGCAAGTCAGCTGTTGGGAAACGTGCGGTCACGCATTAACATGATTAGGCTATAAAAACCTACAAATATCGATTGTTATGTAGGCCTAATAAATGCGTGCAAAATATTTACAAAAATAAGTCATTTTTTCGTATGATAGGGGCTACTTTTTTGGAAGCTTGTTTCTGCCAACGAATAAAATAAAAAAGGGGGGGGATCTGAATTGTAGGACTTTTTGCAGTCACATGATTGTGGATTTCACAGAAGGTTACAGCTGGAGTGCAGTAGATTTCTCTGACGCCTGCAAATATGTCGATGCCTCGGGACAAAATGCGGGCTCATTACTCTAACAAGGATTTGTAGTGTTTATGGCTCTCCTTTACGTCGACCTACTGACATAGATTCTGAACCCTGCCTTTGAGGCCATCTGTCAGACTCACTCTAGTTACAACCTCCACAAAACACATGCGAATTCCCAAAAGGCTGTGCGCAAAGGGATAGTTCCCCCCAAAATAAAAATTCTGTCATCATACTCACCCTCATGTCGTTCCAAACCTTCCGTGAAACACAAAAAGGTCATTTTACAGAAGTCTTCTAATGTCATCATAGGCTACGATAGTTTTGTGTGAGGAATGGACCGACCAACACTCATTAATCACGCCCAGCATTTATATTCGCTTAGTTCAAGTAAGTGATCCGGTTTATTAAAGAGATAGTCCTCCAATAAAATAAAAATACTGTCATCAATTACTCACCCCAAGTCGTTTCATACCCATACGTTTTTTTGAAACACAAATTAATACATTTGAAATGGAATCTGAGAGATTTCTATCTAACTGATGACAGAGTTTTCATATTTTGGGTGAACTAACCCTTCAACATCAAGGAAATTTATTTATTTTTTTTATTGCACAAACATATCGTATTCTTCAGAAGTTAATGTTAATGGTCCAGTTGTGTGGACTCCAGTACCCATTAAAAAAGTACACAAAGAATAAATATTTGTGGTAATAAATGGTAATTCTATGGCTTTTGCACTCATCTTGAATATTTGCATGTGAATTATTTATTTGTAATTGTAGAATTACAAATAAATAATTTGCCAATTGTAGAAATAATATTGGTAGCAAATGAAGAGACATAAATGTATTTCCATAAAAAATATTTACCTCTTTCTAATTTTTGAAAAGGGTCGGCGTTATAAGGTATGGGGGTGTTTATTAAAAGAATAAAGTGATGGCCCTGATATTTTTGTAAATTTATTTTACTCTATGCTCGAACATACAAATGAATGATGACACATGGTCAGTGTTTTGCCCTTGAGTTATATGATTCATAATGCCTGTTAAACAATGTCTGATGACTTCATGCAGTGGACTAAAACACCTCTAATCACACAAGGGGAACGTTGACCTACTTTTAGGACGTTCCAGTTTGACGTTCTCTCAGTTCCGCTTGAAAATTTGATTTTCTTTCTCAGATGTCTTTTTAGGCTATATGTCTTGGTTAGTTGTTTCTTCTCTTAAAGGGACCCAGACAGCAAACTGACATTGAATCAACGTGGAAACATGACATCGAAACAACGTTGATCTGGCATTGTTTTGCTCAACGAATTAACGTTGAACCAACGTCAGACACGCCATTCTTCAAAACTTACGGAAAATCAACTTGAATCCCTGCGACGTCCTAAAAACGTTTAAAGAACCCTAAACGAAGACGAACGAACTAACTGACGCCTTGGGAAGCATTTTGACCATGCTTCAATATCTGACACTTTAGGCACCCTTTAGCATCAGTTCGATGACGCCCTAGGATCACGTCATATAACGGACGCTAAAGAGTGCCTAAAGCGTCAGATATTGAAGCATGGTCACAACGAAGGATATGCAGAAAAACAAGATATTTAATAGTAAACTCGGGAGTATGTTCACACAACCAATAACCGACCAGGGATAGAACAGAACAGGGAGTAATACACTGACAAGCTGACAAGACTTAACTGATTGGAAACCATAGAGAATAACAAGAACAGTGAAGACAAGACGGAACATAATTGTGACAATAGTACGATATAATCATACGATATAATTTCCTCGGTTTAGTAAATCATGGCCACGTTGTATACTAATGCGTTCCCTTGTTTTGATTCAAACATGGCCACGATTTAGTAAAACAAGAGAATGGATGATTATATCATGAGCACAATTCCTGCATGTCATGTGCGGGGCTCTATATTATTGTAAGTGCTGTAGCCAAATGGTATTAAAGATAAATATTATATTATTTGACTTTCTGCTGATGGAGTCAGAAGCTATCTTTCCTCCATCTTCTAGTTCAGAGAAAGTGGAATCCCAGTTTGGCATATTGCACAATTTTGTGGTTATTTATAAATGTGCTATAAGTAATTTATTGAACAACATATAATTTTGGATATATGTTGAGTAGGATCCAAAAATCGGAGACAAGAAGTTTATATATATAAAAAAATAGCAGATCTTTGTTTATATTCTTGTTTAATTAAAATTTTGAATCTCAGACTTTTGGACCCCGCTATGCTGGATTGCCTTTGAATTCTTTCCATGACAGCTCTCTCTCAGCACAAGTTGCCGGCCTTTCGTGCAAAGCATGTGAGGTCTGCTATGGAAAAAAGGTGACCTTCTGCCATTCTCAAGCTATTCACCCACTGGATTGTGCAGAGACACTTCTGATTCTATCACTTTGATGGATTTTGACAGCAGAGCAGCCATGACGTTTTAGGAGTTTAGCATCAAAAAGGAATGATAAAAAAAAAACACGTAAAGCAAGCAAAACTACCTAGGATATTTGCAAAATTTAGCCTTAGTAGATAAGGTGGCGATAATTGTGGATATCAATGCATGTCACTTATTATTAATAGTTCATTGGCCCTTCAAATACTTAAAATGAATTATAACACCTCAGTGTCCCTTGCGGCCCTTTTGTTTGTGACCACTGAGTCGCGGGCCAGTAATGCCCTTTTGGCTTTCTCCCACATGCCATAAAACATCCACACAGGACAGTGATTGTTTCCTTTCGACCCTGAATGCCACAGTGACGCAAACAGTTTCCTTTGTCCACATAAAAACTCTACAAATTTCATTTTTGTCTATTTAGCTAAAAGGTCCATGTCAGAATGTGTTTTGATATACAAAGACAAAGAGGTTTAGCTCCTCGATGAGACACACATGCTGTACAAGAAAAGAAAGAGGAAATGGAAACTGATTCAAAATGAAGAATCACTATACACTAAACTAAACATATTTAGATATACGGGAAATCGCAATGGAAGACGATTTCGATATATCTAAATATGTTTAGTGAAAGGTAAAACTTCCAAAATCTCTGTGTAAACATTGCGTGTCGTGGACGCGCGAGAGATCACTTCCGGCGTAACGTCTGGAGACGGTTCAGTTGGACATCTGATTCAGATCAGTGCGACGGCTGTTAACAAGAGATAAAAACGATATAAAACAGTTTGTTTTCTCACACAAACTGCTCGTTTCGTGTCTTAGGCCATCAGTGTGTACTTACATTTACGAGTCATTAAATCATGTTTAATTTTGACTTCTCTGTGCATGCTCTTTGAGGTGAACCGAGGGAGGACCCCCTTAACCTCTAGTGTATTACTGACAGACAACAACGGTTTGACCAAAAAAATCTCAAAATTGAAAATACTGTGGAAACAAAGACACCTACATCTTGGATGCCCTTAAGGTAAGCTAAAACATATCAACAATTAATTTCAAAGTGAACTATCCCTTTAAGAGTGCCGTGGTCACAGGTTTTAGTACCACTCTATATAAATTCTAAATTATATATGCAAATAGCAATTACTAAGTAATAGACCCTTAATACCTATAAATATTAATAGTACTTTAATTAAAGCATTTGTTACTGGGAAAATGACTTTGCCAAGCTGAGATAAAAGGAATTTAATCATTAATTAGACACTAATTATGTAATGAGCTGAGGTAATTTCCCATTCATTATCATGTGGTGCACAATTCCACAATCCCACAGGTTTGAGAACCCCCTTTTTTGCGAAGGATAATCTTCCAGTTTTTAGCAGGGAATAAATTACTCATTCTCATTCTCAAAATGGCCGAGCATGTTAAAGTGATGTAGTGTCAAACTGTCATAAGACACGATTGCTGTGATTTCCCCTGAGGACCAAATCAAAGGTTTAGGATAATTCTGATGACGGGGCAACAGGAGGGAATGTGGGCATTTCCGTTGTGTGAACATCAGAACAGCTCAATTAGGCTTTTCAAAAGGGACCTTTAAACAATCTTGAAGGTTCTCCTACAACAAACAGCAATTTGGCAATGCCAACAATCCCATAATTCCCCTTTACAAGGCCGCCCAGGAGGGGGACTGAAAATACAGTGTGTGTGTGTGACAAAAGACGAGAGCCGCTCACACACAGGGAAGAGTTCACAGGGAACTCATTAACGCATTTAAGCGTTCATCACAGGCGGTGACCTAGAAATAAGGGACAATTCCACAAAAGGAAAAACAAGACAATAAAGCCCTTCTTTTCCGTGAACGGCATCCACTCAATCAGATGGACCCAATTAGAAAAGATGCTAAAAAGCGGACAGTCTTGTACCAGTGTGTCCTAAACACCTAAAACTGTTCGCATCAGCGTAAACAAGATAATGTGCATAACCAGATCAGGCAAAATCAACAAATGCTATAGTAAACCTTGATAACAAATTATGACATTATAATAAGATTCCCTAATAAGAAGCGGAGTTAGGAAGAACAAACAAAAATTAGACAAACAAAACTGAATTTAGTCCTTGTGGGACTCAACAACGCAGTGGCATGAAGCACTCATCATTCATGAAATAATAATATGACATGCCGTTCAAAAGAATGACTGTTTGTTGGTGCCTATGAATAATGTATTTGGCCAAAGTGTGGGTCTGAATGATGCAATCTATTTAAATATGCATGAGAATGTCATCACTGAACACGAGTGCCTTCAAATAAAATACAAGCTAATCTTCTTTATGATAGAAACAGATTTTGATTGGAAAAGTCAAGCTAGGAACAATTGAAAACTATAGAGAAGATGGAGACAATGCTGTCATGATAATATCACTCTTGTATTGTTCTTTCTTCTGAGCGATACAAAATATTGAAAAATGTCATTTCAAATGTTTTTGTCCATACATTAAAATCAATGGGTTTCAAAACAACATTAGCCTGAATGTTTTTTTTTTTCCAAATATCCACAGTAGAAAGTGTCATACTGTAGGAATTTATATGATATAGAAATCTTTTCTAATAATGTAAAATTCTTTACTGTTAAAGTCCCCCTGTGGTTAAAATCAAGCTTTAATGTTGTTTATATGTCTATTGCTGAGTATTTTCTTTAAAATTGCAGAGAAAAAAGGTTAGGTTTAAAATCGATGGTGTTTCTGACGTCACAAACTACCTTGGTCAATGTGTGATCGTCAACGCTCGTTGTTGGCAAAACTTTTAATTGGATCGGAAATAAATCCCAGAATGCATTGTAACATGCTTTGTGAAAAAAAAAAAAAACTTTCAAGACTGGTCAAATGTTGATCATATCAACACACTAACAACTGTTTTCTCTTGAGTGAACTCATTCTGAATTCCATAGATCCTTTTAATTAAGTCACTTATGAGATTCTATTTCTGTTAGGATGTTGCCTTGGAAGGAAACTTCCTAGGAAGTAGACAGCGCACTAGGTTTTGGAGCTGAGCTTAAATGTATAGTAAAAGAGATGAGATTGATCCTAAAGCAGAGCAAAAAGTCCAATTTTCCTTTTGATACTAAATGGCCAATAAACAACCAGACCACAATAACAAAACTCCAGCTGTCTTGTTAAGCCAAACAGGCTTCCTACATCTTTCCCTACATTCCCAATCCAGTCCGCACTTCTATCCGTGAGGTCACGGAATCCGCTGCAGCATGAATGCCTAATGCTGAACTGGCCATGGCCTTAAACAAAAGCCTCTGTGTACTAGAGTACTGTATGGCATTGACGACCCAGAGGCCTGTGAGCCAACACCATCAAGAATGAACCAGCCATTGGAGAAGAATTGATTGGTAAAGGATATACTGATTGGTTAGATCACATAATCTGAATAAATAGAAAACACAATGTCCAGTTTCAGTAGAACACACAAGAACGCTCGCGTGTGAAAAGGTAAAAATATTTTATCGGATGTGCCTTTCGTTTACACGGCGACAGCGTTTTGGGGGCTTGAAACCACCATCCAGAGTGGAAATCTTAAAAACGCTCCACCGCCGCGTTCCCGTGTAAAGGGCAAAAACGCAAAAGTCTGCTTGACAGTGAAGGTTGTACGCAGGCGCGCAGGCTTGGTGTTGTTGTAGTATGCACTCTTAGTCTGGAGTGCATACTACATTGAATTTCACAGACTTTTGTGTCACCAACTGAAAGCGCATTTCACATCCAAAACACTCGTCTATACGCAGAATAAAAAGTGAAAAAACAACGCCACTTTTGCGTTTTCTCTTCAGATCGTTTCCGTGTAAACAGTCTCAAGTTTTGTCTGTAAGACATTTCAATGTTTTTTTATTATTATTCAAAAGTGACACGTCTTGGCTAAAACAACAGCGTCTTCAGTGCTTTTCAGTGGCTGAAGTGCATCACAAGTATTTCCGCTAGCAAATACAGAGTGATTTTAATACTTACATAGCAAGGGAGCTAGGCTTAACGTTAGGGTTGGGTATCGAGAATCGAGTATCGATTGGAACCGAGACTAACTTTTCGTTTTTCCCGGAATCGTTCAAAAGTTAAAATTTCGATTCCTAGTTTCGATATTCACAGTCTGCTGAGCGGAAGAAGAAACCGCTGAACAACACCGAAGAAGCGTCTACCAGAAGTGTTGGCATAACCACGCGAGTCGAACATGAGTACCTTACGTCGGCGATCCAAAGTGTGGCTTCACTTTTCTAAAAATAACGAAATCTTGGACAAAATGCAAAATTTGTGACAAAAGGAGTATTTTTACAGAAGGAGTATTTCCTTCAGAAAGGATTATTTCCTTCAGAAAGGCCGTTGGTTAGCATGGTTAGCTAAACTTTTTTGACCCTGCCTCTTAAAAGAATCGGAATCGAGAATCGTTAGGAACCGGAATCGAAACAAGGAATCGCAATCGGAATCAGAATCGTTCAAATTCAAACAATACCCAACCCTACTTAACGTTAAATCGATTCACAAGAATCACAGATTTCCACAACACCAGAACATACTACGCCATACATACAGCCATTTTCTATATATTACCTTCCGTACAGTAAGTTTCAGAGGTACTTTGAGCAAAAATACAAATACACCAAATTAAAATAATAATAAAAAAATACTGGGGTAAGAAAATTGTGCAAATATAACAAATGCCTGTGAGTTAATCCATAATCCGTCTAGACTTCCAAGAAACTACATATAGTACTGATGTCTTCTTCTGTAAACATCAATAGGCAGAAGCATCTCTAAGACAATGTGTTCTGTAATTAACGTGTGGATGTCCTTTGTCCCTATAATCACAAGTTAAAATATCCAGTTTATGAGCATCTCTCCCAAAACAAAGAAACTCCACAAAGCTAATGTGTACCCCCCCTTAGGTAAGGTACAACCTTAGCAGTGAGTTCCCGCGATTGGGAAGGTAGATGGATCCCTGCGGACTACAGTACTGTAGGGTGAAAGCTCCAGCTCGGTGGTGCCGTCCTGATCGTTGTCGTCACTGTTGGGCTCCGAGGACTTTGGTGGGCCGCACTCCTCAAAGCAGCAGCAGCAGCAGTCCAGAAAGGCTTTTCTGAAGGGCCGACAGAGAGCAAGAAGCAGCACCGGTGTAACCGCGGACTTGCAGAACAGCATCATCTGACTCACCAGATGCAGGATATCCAGTGTGCGACGCGGCACACCTGTAGCCATGTACACCGATACGATGTTGCTGATGTTCTCTGGTATGACGCAAAATCCGTACAGGATAGCCAGAGCAACAACAATGCAGTTCATTTGACTCTCCAATTGGATCTGCTTGCGGTTGCCTCGGACGCTGGCGCGCTCGGCCTTGCGGATCTTGCGTGCGGTCACCACTGAGCTGATGATGGTGAAGAGAGTGGGAAGGCAGAAGTAGCAGCCGAAGTACCACCAGAGACGAGCGCTGTTGTAGGTGAGTCCGAGGACGTAAAGCGTGTCCGGGAGAGCCGTGGAGATTCGGACCACGCAGTGTTCGCAAGGCGTCACTTCCGGAGGCTCACGGTCCTCTCTCACCAGCTGCCGGATTAGAAGCTCGGGCAGGGCGAGGAGCAAAGCGCCGATCCAAATCACCATTAGCTTGGCTGCAGTGGAGGTGCAGTTCTCGATCATCTCGTAGTACATCTGGACGTTGCTCGCGGCACGGAAACGGTCAATGCACAAAGCACAAAGAGTGAAGGTGGTTACTCCTAAAGACGCCACCTGCAAGGTAAAGGGGATGTGTGGTCATTACTAATAAACTTTTACAAAATCCTGGCATTGACAAACCTGGAAACAGGTTTGGAACATTGCGGGTGAAATTAAAGCTAAGCCTAATTGACAAAAAAGAAGCAAAAATCTGGGTTACATTGAGGCACTTGCAATGGAAGTGAATGAGGCCAATTTGTAAGCATTACTCATTACAAATACTCACCGTTTCAATAGTATAGCCACAAGACGACGTAAATAATTTGAGTCGATGTAAAAAGGATAAGAACAGAATATAATATAGAAGTTGACATAAGTGCTTCAGATTTATGCTTTAATTTTTTGTTACCTTTCTGTTAAATTTGAAGTGCCTTATACCGTAAACCTAGATTTCTGATTAATTTATTTCAGGAATGAGTCTGAAAGCATTTGTGGCATAATTTTGACCATAAGAAACTTAGATAGATTGAGCGCAACTATTATTGAACTCCTGGGTGTGTTGGACAGTAAGGAAATTCAATCTCACTAAACACCAAAGCCTTTTCATTTAGGGCCATAGACTTCATTGTTAGGTTGAAACATTGTGATCAAGTAAGCAGGCTGTTCTGAATCAAGGGTGTAGGCATTTGCACTCTGTAGTGTCGGGAGATTAAAGCCACAACTATGGCACCAATCAGGTCAATTCCTCAGAAACACATGATACAATCTGAACGCAGCCTCAGGGCAATACCACTATCTCTTTGTGTCTACAGTGGAGACACTCCCCCTTACTCAAGTAGACAAAACACAACAAATATGTCATATAACATTTGCATTGAATTTCTGACTACACATTCACAAAGCCTTCTCGTTAATTTAACAGCATATTTCATTTAGATTATTTTTCAAGCATAATCTTATAAAAATGCAAACGAATTAGCCCTGGAAATTTGTTACTGAAGAATGTAGCAAATACACTTTAATCTGTAGCCTATGTTATGAACAATAGACTAAAGATTATTGGTTTGATCATGTACAAAACGCAGCTAGGGCGATTTAATGCAATAAGTCGTGTAATAACAAAAAAAGTTATCTTGTGTTGTGTAATTACATTATAAATTGGACAAACGCTGAATGGCGTAGCTTTTTACACAAATATAAATGAACAACGCAATGCAAGTATTTTGCAATTTCAAGGTTGCCACACAAAGTGCAATAGCTGTTAATGGTTTCACTTTCATGTCAGTAACTCTCTTGGCTGAGAAAGTCAGAAAAATCTTGCTAAGCAAGTTTGTTTAAGTCGTACAGTAACTTACCTGACTCGGTGACCTAACACACGTACAGTTTAGTAGCCCAGGCATTTGAAGGAAACTAACACCTACCTTGAGCACTAAGAAATACGTATAAAATGATGAAAGCATTTAAATGTGAATCCCATGTGAATTAACCATAAAGGATAAACAAGCAATTTAACCAGTTTCAGTAGAAAAAGTAGCTTGCTGTACGTCTGAGAACCTGCTATACTAATTTAAGTCAAGCTCAATCATGAAACCAGGTCTGGCTCTATACAGGTGAACCTGACCAATCAATCATGAGTCTGATCCACCCTTAATCTAATAAAGATCTCAGAGGACTTAAGATGCATTGATCAATAAAAAACATGTTAAACAGATGCAATGGAATCATACATTGAATGTATGATTGGATAAGTTAATGAAGGCTATACCTGATCACAAGAGATTATCTTATTTTAATGATTTTTTTAGAAGTCTTGCCCCATGCCATGAAGCTACCACAAACCCTTTTTTTTTTTTTTTTTTTTTTTTAGCCAATTTGACATTAGTCACAGAAATAACTGCATTTCAATCACCCATTGAAAGTGACCAACCACAGTTCTCTTAATCCAATTTGGCGTTTACCTCAATGTATGGAATGATTTTACAGGAGAATTCCCCAAGGAGCCAATCCTTAGTGAGTTCGTGGAATATAACAAGTGGCAAGCAGAAAAAGAGGATGATAAAATCCCACAGGGCGAGGTTGGCCAGCAAGGAGTTTGAAATGCTTCTCATGTAGTAATTGTGGCACACTATGCACATGATTGCTATATTCCCAACAATCCCCACAGTGAAAATGACGATGGAGATGCACATGACAGCATATGCACCATACGATTCACCTGTCACGGGGAAAAACGGATTCTTCACCCCAGGGGTTCTTGGTCGTGTGTTAAGGGGAATAAACGGAGTGAAGACTTCCTCAAAGTCTTCCACAGGTGAGGTGCCCCATTCAGGAATAGACGTGACATCAGTAGGAAAGCCTGAAGGCTGGATCTGTGCTACTGGCTTCGGCAGTGACTCCACGCGCTCGAGTTCATTCTCTGGAGATGCGGTGCCTTCATTTCCCGTCGTCGCCCTTTCTCGTCGACGATGAATTCCGCCATTTATTTCCCTCAGAAATGTTTTTGTGTTGCTATTGTCCATTATATGAGTTTTTTCGTACTTCCGTCTGGAAGATGCGCTCACCATTAAATGTTTTGTAGTACCGGCCAATGAAATCACATCTGTAACGTTAGTTTCCTTACCAGCAATTTTATTTAACGTCACACGTCGTTCATGGCTGTTTGAGTTAACGTTAATTTTACGCACTTTGTGGGATGGAACTAGTTTTGACGTTAAATCCGTCGTTTTGTTGCTATTTGAGAGAACTCCTGAGAGTTCACAACTAACGAGCAAACAAAATACAGTTAAAAAATGCATTTCCATTGCGTTTTCCAGTTAGTATATCCCTTGAAAATATCCAAACCTGATAAATCCAGTATTTTAAGGCGTACTTGTAGAACTAACATCAAGCGTCGTCCCACTCACGGGTCTCTGAACATCGCTAGTTTCCATTTTTAAAATCAATAGTTTTGTAACAGCAGGTCAAACAGGTGTTCAGACAAACAAAACAAAGCTTGTTGAAGTCCACGAACCGCAGATATTTCCAAGCGTTTCGTACAAGAGGAAAAATAGATGTCAAGGAACGAGCATCCAGCATCTCGATAAAGTGAAAGTCCTTGAGAGCCGTTTATGATCTCCTGGTGGACCTCTGAATATGAAGCTCTGTCAGGGAGGCTCCGCGTTCACAGACACAACACACAGTGAACGCGCCACCTAGTGGACTGAAACACAACGACATTTTGTTTCCAGCAACAACCACCTGCTGTCAAAATGCTCATCAGTTTCACTCCAGATGGCTTGTTAAATAATGCCACACACAGGTCCAAGGAGATCAAGTAGTTATGTATTATAAATAGAAATATACTTTATTTTATTGTTTGACCATAAAACATATTTACATTTCTTAAAGGGATAGCACACCCAAAAATAATAATTTTGTAATAATTTAATCACCCTTAAGTCGTTCCAAACTGGTATGAGCTTCTTTCTTCATTTGAACACAAAGGAAGATATTTTGAAGAATGTTGGTAACCATTGACTTTCCTACTATGGAAGTCAATGGATGCCATCAACTGTGTGGTTACCAACATATCTTCCTTTGTGTTCATCAGAAAAAAAAGAAACTCATACAGGTTTGAACACCTTCAGGGTGAAAAAGTAATGTATTTTTTAGGTAAATTATCCCTTTAACACAAGATTTCTAGCAACAATTTCTTTCTTGTTCTTTGCAGATGCCCATCTATGATAGTTTACTCTTAACCAAACTGTCTGTAACTTAACTTCTTTATTCCTCTCTGATTTCGGAGTCAGTGATCTGGTAGCAAACTTTATTATTGCTGTCATTGTCCTTCACAGTGTAGACAGAGAGGCAAAGATCCAGCCATGGACGTTCTTCTGCAAAGAAAAAGAGACATTCTCTTACTCTAAATATTGAAGGAATGTAAAGAAAAAAAATCATTAATTTAGGAATGAAATCTTTACCCAAACTGCTTTGTGGTGGTTTAATTGTGTCGATGATGGTCTGAATCTTGTCCTGCAAATCCTGACTGCCTGAAGCATCGACAGCAGAAACATGGAAGAACTTCTCCTACAAAGAAAAAGACAGAGACAACCACTAAAGCCTATTTCAAAAGAGAAAATAGCACCCTCTGCTGATCAGGTAATGCACAGCTATATTTGTGTGTTTTACAACTTTAACAAAAAGAAGTCATTTTATGCAACTGACAAACGTGCACTTTTTCCAGGTATTTAATGAAATGGCATTGATATACTCACGGCGTTCTCCCACAGCAGAGCCTCTAATGTGTCAGTCCCATCGTCCAGTTCAAACTGGATTAACAATCTGTACTGCATCAGCTGAACTCCCAGAGCTGTGACAGAAACAGATGAACTGGCCAAATATACATGTGGAGGAAGTGTCCAAATTGAATCGTCCAATTGAAACGATTGGCTATGAGAGGCGCATTTGATAGACATTCGTAGCACCCAATAAACGGCTTTGGGCATTTGTAAACCACGCCTCAAATACGAGAATATGAATGTGGTTTCCAGGCCCTCTGATGTTAGCCAAGCTATCCCATTAATAATGAAACCCAATAAATAGAAATCTCCAAAATGAAAAGTAACTTGTTTTCACATAATGCACTTTTAACTACACCTGTAAGACTTAATACCCAATAAAACATGACAAAAAAAAGTATTATTTTACTCTTAATTTCATGTTATCATCTCCATAGAACGTAATTTGGAAACTGTAACCAATCATTTACAACTAGGGATTTATTTTTGTTTTTGCTTTAAGCGTTGTAATTCTCAATATTCTTAATAAATATAACCCATCTTTATTAAGTAACACAGGTCCCATACCCAAGACTATATTTTGCCTCTTTACTATATTTGGTTTCTTAAAAAAAAAAAAGTTCTTTTATTGAATTACTCTTGTCCAATTTTGTCTTATTATTTTAATAGTGTTAAAAAAGTGTGTATAATGTGCTTTAAATAAACCACAGCCTCTACAGCACCCTAAAGAGGACTGATTATATTTAGATGATTTTTTCATTAGGGTTGTGCTATTCTAAACTGAGGATGTAGTTTTCAATTCTTGAAATTGAATTGAGGAAGCAAACATGATGCAAAATTGTAATTTTAATATGAAGAAGAAAGAAAATGTAATAAACTAATGTGTTAAAAAGTGATTAAATAATACATATTTTTTTCTTTATGAATGAGTCATTAAGAATGCTAGAATTAAGAAGAGAAACTGACATAAAAAAAAAAGTGGCACCTATAGAAATGTGTTCTTCGTTAATATACATTTTCTTTTACTGGGTACATTTTTATTTTATTAAATTATATAAGATGTCCATTTGAATTTTCAAAAGTTATCTGAAAATATGGTGCATACTTTGTTTTGATTTCTGTATTAATAAATAGGCATAATTAGGCCAAAATGATACCTTCAGCAACCGTCTGTCCATCATAGGTCTCCATCCCAGCAAACACATGGTTTTCAAACGTGTTCAGAGAGCACTGCTTACACCTGAGACACACACACAAACTCAAATTTAACTAAACACAGACGTGATCGCATCCTTCCCTAGGGGTTGTCAAACTGTGTTTACATGATAAGAGATGTACACACTGAACACCAGAGGAGTTTAAAATGAAGTATGTACGTCCGTCCTCTTACCCGTAATATCTTTTGTCTCTGGAGAACAGGAAGGGAGCTGTAAGATCCATCAGGGCCATCCTGCCATTCTCTGATCTCACGGGAACCAGGTTTTCGTAATTGCGTGATAACACGCAAATCTCATCCAGAGTCGTTCCTGTAGATACAAAGCTATATTTTTTAACGTACGACACAAATATGTATTAAAAAAAGCTTTTGTTTATAGTTGGACGCACCCTCGACGAATATCAGATGCATGTGAGTGCTTTGCCCCACCATGTCTCTGGAAATGTGCATTGAGATGTTTCTGCCGGCTTCTCTAGACCTCACTGATGAAGTGGCGGCCCACTGCACGTCGCAAGGCCGGTTCTCTCGCGCAGACTCCCGAAAGACTTTAGCAACAGCGCCGTCATCGGGAACGTCTTTCCTGTGACATACAAACAAACAAAATGTACACTACAAATTAAAAGTTTGGGGCTGGTAAGATTTTTTTGTGTTTTTGAAAGACTGGATTTACTGATTCAGTAATCAGTTCTTTCTTTTGAAAGAAGATAAATCCATTTATCTGCACTTTAATCTTTGAAACTTTGCAGACCATTTACATTCACAAACAGTTATATTACCTTTCTTGTAGTGTAATACTTGAAAAAGCATAATAGGGCACTTTAAACAACTAACAATTAAGTATAAATTCAAGCTTCTCGGTACCTTCTTCTTTTCATGGATGCGAGTCAGGAGCAGGTTGCAGAGTGTCAGACTCACATTGTTTTACACTTGGAGCAGAAGAGCTTCAGGCACTGGTATAACTGCTGTGGATGGTACTTCTTCACCCGGGCTCGGACATGACATGACAGCGGCGGGGTGGAGCGTTTCACCCGGGCCAATGTGAGCTGCTGCGTGTTGTGCTCGCATGTCCGCACTGAACAATCACATGTCAAAATATTAGTATTGTCAGACCTGTGGCTTAGTGGTAATAGGTCACCATGAAACATCTTTTCTTCTCTATTGTAATGTATATCTAACCATGCGTTTTATTTTTATTTTTTTTACCTGTATAAGAATGTCCTGTATCTGCTTCATCTAAAATGAAAAAAACAACAACAACATTATAATATATAACATAATAAAACCATTTACATATTACAGATTGTTTATGTTTTGTTTTTTTTTTCATCTATGGTGGAGAAAAAGCTTTGAAAAGTCATACATAAGTGATATATAAACCTAGTAATATATCTATACCTGGTTCTTCATCATTTGGCAAGACTAGAAGGAAACATAAGCATACAGATGAAGGCCAGCTGAGCATGACACAAAACTAGACATAAAATGGAAAACAAAAAGAGGCACCACCAACCTACAGCCTCTGGCGGTGTGTACCAAATCTCCAGTAACGTGCCATCATTCACTTCATCATACTCATCCAGATCGACATGATTCTCTAGCACGCTGAATATTGATCAGTAGAGACAGAGAGAAAGAATTCTTTGAATTTGAAAGAATATTTTAATTTGCCACCAAAATACTGAAGACTTTATGTCAATTATTCTTATATATCAAGGCCGTGTGTGTATGTATAAACACTTACACACACATACAAACATAAGTACAAAGTAACATTATGAGACAAAATAAGGTGCACTGTGTTAACATCACTAATCAAATTTGTCATGCTGTAATGAAAATTTTGTAAAAAATTATACAAAACAGGCATTTTCAGTGGTCTTCAGACTCGCCTTTTGAGGGACTGTAGATCAGGGCTCTCTGCAGGAAGGCTGCGTAAACCTCGTCCATACGTCGACCCCCCATGCAGGTGGAAACTGAGATGTTCAGCTTGATCAGCCTGCTGGTCCGGAGCTCGCTGAAGGAGTGAACGGAGATTGTAGAACCGCAGGAACGTGCCGGGCTAAAGGCAAACACAAGAATGTTTTCATTACAACATCAGCTTCTTCAATTCTGAAGACTGATCACAATATCTTTCTAGAATTCAAGTCGAGACTTTGATTATACCACTCCAAAACTTTTATTTTGCTTATTTTCAGCCATTTTCAGACAAAGAAAATGGTTTGCAACCCTTTCCGAATTGCTGTATCTCAACTTTCTGCTAAACCGTTTTGAAAAATTTCTTAATGCAACATTCTGTACCTAAATATGTTTAAAAGAAGCCGCTTCTCTCTCTATATATAATAGGCGGTCTTTGTTAATTGTCCTAAAACTAATCACCTACCCAAAAGGTAGCGGTTTTCCTTTGTTTCAAGTAACTAAGGGGGCAATTACTTTCACAGGGTTTTCTCCTATTAAATAAATGAAATAATGAATTTGAAGATATGAAACCATTCAAAGAGAAATACCCAATTAAAAAGAGAATCAGGATGGAGTAAATATTTGTTTACAGTACTAACTAAATAAAAATTAAATGCATCACCTGTCCATAGCTTGTAATAATTAGGATACATTTTTTTTCCAAGTCTATACTCAACAAGGCTGCATTTATTCGATTAAAAATACAGTAAAAACAGTACTATTGTGAAATTTGCAGAAAAATTGTGAATGTTTTCTACTTATACTTTAAAATGACTCCCATCTTCAGTCACATGATTCTTCAAAAATCATTATGCTGATTTGCTGCTCGAAAAACATCAATGTTGAAAACAATATTTTTGTGGAAATTGTTCAAACTCAAAAGAACAGCATTTATTTGAAATACATTTTTTTTTCTAAGATTATAGACGTTTTTACTGTCACTTTTGATCAAACTTAAAATATATCTCAAAATTGTCACTGAATAAAACTTAATTTCTTTAGAAAAATGTATTTAAAAAAAATTTAAAAACATATAACTTACAATACAAAAACTAATAAATACTTTGACCATTTTCATCATCTCTATTCTAGTACTTAATAATTATCAGTCCAGCAGGGGGAGCTACGGCACTAGAGTTGAGCAACAGAGTAACAACATTACAGTAAGGAATGAAAAAAAAAAAAGTTGGTCCCCTGAGATCACTATGAGCAGCATGAAGACAGACAGAGACCGAGAATCACTTAATGAACTCTTGTGCAACAAGATTGTCTTCATATTATGGATTTTAAATAGACAAGAAGTGGATATGATATCAAAACGCCTCTAAATAAGATGGTGTCAGATTTCTGCTCTGCATTTATAATCAGGTTCTGGGAGTCCTCCTATTGCTGTACACTTTTGACGTCATATATGGGGTTTCGGGCGAAAGCCATCTCTTTATTTACTTGATTTTACCTCCAAGTCTTTGTTTGTACAGAGATTTGAAGTAAGCCATAGTGCTGGCATTCACAAGAACTGGTTGGATGCAATACAGCCTCTAGACAGTGCTTCTAAACAGCCTAAAAAGGCACTGCGATGGAGCCAACCAAATCATTTGAATAAACGGAATGGTGGCATCAATTATTCGGCATCAATATTTGATTGAAACAGACTTATTCCATAACAAGGAACAAGGTAAGGTAAACATATCCAAGAGTGCAAATTTGATTCAGCTCATTAACATCTAGCTTGATAAGCTGACAACTGAAAACTGGGGTGTGAGATTGGAGCTATAAAGAGAACTTGGGAGTGTGGCTTGATAAAGTTGGCCTTGAAGAAACATGGTTGGATCTATTGAGAACCAAATGTTTTTCATCACATCCAACAGCAAAAACAGACAATCCAGTCTCACTAAACTCAGTGATTTCTTCTGGACAGACAAGACAAGAATTGACCATAATGTAAGTTTGTTTCACCATTATTTACAAAAAAAAACATGAGATATGAGAAATACACTGTAGTCTTTTCTTGAAAAGAAATAAATGGATATGCTGTACCATTTTTTTTCCCAACCATTATCATCGTTACTTTCTGATTTTGAATACACTAAATACTAAACACTAAATAAATTTGAATAAACTAAATAACTTCAAAAAGGGAGAGTTTTTCAGTGATGTCATAGAGAACCATTTTTGGTTCTTTCTCTAAAGAACCCTTCAGTGAAGTTAGCCATTTATCTTCTTAGTCTGACCGAGGAAACATTTTAATAATTGAAAGAACCCCTTTCCGCTGTAAAGAACCTTTAGTGCAGTGGTTAAATTCCAAGGATGTTAAAAGTTCTACATAGAACCAGAAATGCAAATAAAAGAACCTCTAGCATATTAAAGTAAAGGTAAAAAAGAAAGAAAATAAATAGAAAAATCAGTCCATATTTACTCACCATCATGCCGTTTCAAACTAATGATCAATATATATCAGTTTTACTGTTAAATAAAATCAGTGACGATAGTTGCGTTACTGAAATGCTGGTTACTGTAAAAAAATCAATTCGAAAAAAAAATTATATATATATATATATATATTCCTCAGATATATTTTCAACCAGTTTTATTCATAGAAGTTCAGAATGTTCTTTAATTAATTGTTTATCTACCTATTAAAATGTATTTTATTATCTTAATTTTGGTTATACACTAATTAAAAACATTTTCATGGATGAACTTTTTTCACTTTAAAAAAAAGAAAAGAAAACCAAACTCATTGATTTTAAAATCTATAGAACATTTCCCCAACTTAGTTACCATCAAACTCCACTTTACAATCCCCATCTGATGTTTCCGCCTTTGGAAGACAAAGGTAATTGTTTAAAAGAAAAATCAATATAAAAAGAAAAACATCCAGAACACCCACCACACACCCGCTTACTGGTGGAGAGGAGACAGAGCGATGAAGCCAATCAGTACATATGGTGATGATTAGGAGGCCATGATGGACAGAGGCGAATGGGCAAATTTGGCCAGGATATGCCGGGTTAAACCCCTACTCTTTCGAAGGACATCCTGGGATTTTTAATGACCACAGAGAGTCAGGGCCTTGGTTTAACGTCCCATCCAAAGGATGCTCTTTAACAGTATAGTGTAGAATTTATTTTCAAGTGTCTATTAATGGGTATAGCGACAGTAACGTCTTCAGCTAGTCAGCTTGAGATCCTTTCCGTCTAAACTGGTTATATCTCTTAAGCCTCGTAGTGAAAATTTTATGAGAAGTAGGATCACCATATTCATCCGTGTAGTCACGCAGAGCAAATGTTCTTCTGCAAAATACATGTAGTTCTGTTTTAGAGTGCCAAAAGCTACTTAGTGTACTTTTAAACTGCTATATTCATTCGTTATTGATGTCAGTGACGATTGGTCAGCACAACCGTTTCTCTCTATTGTACGGCTTCAGAAGACTTGGAACATAGCACACAAAGTTGCATGAAACACTTTTATGATTTACTTGCAAGCCCCAGTCCCAACTCACTTATATTATATGAAAAAGGAGCTTCTATGGGCATCTAGTTTCGCAGAAAATGACATGGACATGACAATTTAAATCCCATCCCATCAGGCTTGCAACATTTTCCTTGAGAACCGACTGAAAATAAAGCCAATGGTAGAGACAAATCTACATACACTTGGTATTCTCCTACTGGAGCTCACTGCACGGTTGGTTACGCACAGCAGGGGAAGGAGCCGGGCTGCTCGGCACAGGTG